CTCCCCACCCCACTAACCTGCTTTCCAGCTCCGTTCTCCTGGGCAGGGCAACCAAAGGAGACCCAGCCCATCAGCTGGGACTCGATGGGAGGCAGAGAAGAGATGGGGTTGGCAGGGCTAGTCAGGGGTAGTATTTGCCGGTTCTCCCAACGACTCCAAATTTCCGCTACTGGTTCTCCAGAACTGGTCAGAACCTGCTGAAGACCCACCTCTCCGAGAGGGTGCTGTGAGAAGCCGCCTTCGCTGAGAGAAGGCCGTTTGGGCAGCAGAGGGTGGGGGAGAGAGAGAGAGAGGAGAGGCACACTGGAAATGTGCCTCCTCACCTGTCCTTACCTTTGCAGGAAGCCTCCCGTGCTCAGGAGCAAGCTATGGAGGTCGAAGCCCTGAGGAGAGAAGCTGAGAAGCTGCACCAGGCGCTGCGAGAGATCGCCCAGGTACGGCCTTCCAGGGCAGCCCCACGAGACCTTGGAGATGGACACCCACACCTGGTCTTTGCAGCGGGCGGGCAAGTGAGGTGCTTTCCTGCATTCCAATGGGTAGTGTCCTCTTGGCCCACCCCTCAGGCAGTGATCTTAGACGCTGAAGGCGCCGGTCCCCTCCCACCGCCCGACCCAAAGACTGACGTTTCGGCCAGCGACGGCACCGGTGTTGTGAGGGGCTTGTCCTCCCCACTGCGGAGCTCCTCGCCTCGACGCAGCCTCTCCCCGGTCTTTGCGGCCTCCACCCTGGCTATGGTGCAGTCCGCCCTACAGAAGCGCCAGCTGCAGCTGCAGGTGAGGAAGGGGGACAGCGGTCCCCTGGAAGGGAATTTCAAACGAATCTTTCACTTTATCGTTGTTTATCCCCGATGATTTTAATGTCTTTATGCTGTAAGCCGCATAAAACGAGATGGGCAGCAAAATAAACACGGAAAGAGATGTGGGGGCCAGAGAGCGTCGTGCTCAGCTGGATGCTCGAGAGGAGATATATTTTTTTTCTTTTTGGACAAAAATACATACATGGTTGGAAAAGACGATACAGCAACACAGATTTAAAACCTGAAATATTTTTGTTGGGCGTTATACCAAAAATTTATAGTAAAGAAAAGAGCAGTGGTGGGATTCAAATTGTTTTATCACCAGTTCAGTGGGCGTGGCTTGGTGGGCGTGCTTTGCTTAACGCCGGCGCACAGCTTTCCCCATACCAGCTGAAACCTGCAGCGCCAATCAGCTGATAGGATTAAAAAAAAAAGAAAAGCACGAGCTGGTGGGAGATCCCTCCTCCCAGCTGACCATTGCCTTTTTTTTTTTTTTTACTATACCAGTTCAGCTGAACCAGTCCGAACCAGTAGCATACCACCACTGGAAGAGACGTATTTAATTATTCATGTAGTAACTGCAGCTAGAATTGTATTTTCCCAAAATTGGAAAAAAATGAAAAGATTCCGACAAAAGGGAATGTGACAAGGAAAACATGAGAATGCGCAGAAATGAATAGATTAACGGTTGCAATTAAAGAGAAGGAGCAAAGTGAACATTACCAGATATGGGAACTGTTTTATCAATGGCTGGATAAAAAAAATATGATAGCTAATAGGCTAGCAAAATATAAAAAAAATTGTTAAAAGAATTAAACATGTTAAGAGTGTGACGGTAATAGAAATATTATGTATAACAATAAGATTAGAGAATTATGAAAA